GGCCGCCTTGCCGACCGACCGGCCTTGCAGAGCGACGGCTCCCCGAGTGCCGTCGAACATCGCCGTTCGATGCGGCCGTCCTCGAATCAAGTGATAACGTCGGCCGCACGCAGCGGCGCCACCTCAATCAGCGCGCGGTCACGAAGTCGTCCGCCCGGCGAGCGATGATGCTCTTGGCCGGGCACGGGCGCCGTCGGCACGAACGGCACGTCAGCCGCCTCACCGCCCGCCCACCTCAGCGAATGGCCGCCGCTGAACGGCCGCGCCGCGCGCGAAACGGCCTGTTACAGGCGCCGTTGGACACGCTGGGGCGGCGGCGAGGCCGTGTCCGGCCTGCAGCGGCCTGGACCGCCCTGGACACACTTCATCAATATGGGATCAGGCGACCTTTCAACGGTGCACTAAGCGTGCAGTACGATGCACGGCCTATACTGTCGGAAACTGTTGAACGTTCCCGAACGGTTTAATCAGTATGCACGGAAGCTGCTATTAATGACGTTCAGCCTACCTTTCAGCTGTTCATATTCGAATTTCCCCACAGGATGTGCCGCATTTCGGCCAACTAATGAGCCGCGCTTAAGTCTGACAAATCGAGTCGACTAATGCTAGTCCACCGCCGACAGAATTCCACGAACGACGGGCGCTAAACACTGGCCCTGCGCTAACGAAATCTGATAACTTCGTCCTGAAAGTCATAAACATGTTTGGCCATTTATATCATGTTAATCAATCTGTTTTGATCAAAACATGAAAATACGACGACGCCCGACACCAGCGCGTAAGCCAGCGGTGGTGTAACGACTGGCGACCGATGATACGACAGATGAGGCAGTTCAGCGCAGCCGACGCGGGCCGTCAGTGGCGCCTCCTCCCCACGGCACCGCCACAGACCGGGCCGGGTCTATGCTGACCGCCCGGTGCTGACGGCGCTGGACTATTCACCGACGCACAGCACCGCCGCGACCATTAGCGGCGCCACGCCCCGGCGCAAGCGGCGTCAAAGGGAGGGGGAGGGGCGTCTGGGAGAGGGAGAGTCGTGTCTGGGCGGGTGCCGAGCCCCGCTGGGTCTCCCGGCGTCCCGCCGCAATCCCAGCCCGCCACTGTCTCCGCGCGCCAATCTGCCAGCCCGCATCAGCCGTACGCAGCTCTGCCTCACGAGAGTGGCCGGCGCCACCGCCACGAGAGGCCGCGGCGTCGGCGGCAGCCTCCAGTCGTGACGGCGCGCCACAGCGGCACTCCGCCCGGGCCGGTCCAGGGGGGCACGGCCGGCCGGCACGCTCCGGGCGCGGGGTTTACGACGCCTTTGACGGCGACCGCCCGCTGGACGGCGCGCATGGCAACCGCGCTCGACCGGAGCAGTGACCGGGGGGACCTGACCTCCACATGGGCCGAAGAGAAACGGGCGCAGACAGCCGTGGCGGTCAGGGCTCTGCATCAGCGCTGTGGACGGCGCCGTCGCTGAAGAGGTCATGGTGACCCGGCAGAACAGAGTGCAACGGAGCACTGTGCGATGACACCCGGCTCTTGCTATGCTGTACTATGCTACACATACCAGATCCACGGACAGTGAGCCTGCCTAACATCGATGGTCCCGCCCGGTGGTCGATGGTTACCCGCTGCTTATCGGGTGACCCATCGATGATTTCTCGAAGGTCCGATGGCCCCACTTTCGTCACCCATACCCCGTCGGCCCGCGGCGGGTCGACCCTGAACGGTCGTGCTTTGCTCTAACTTCTTCACAGTCCCGCTGCTCACGCCTTCTCCCACTGTTCGGCGGGACAGTCCCAGTCCTGCGGCAGCGCGCGTCGCCACCAGACCGCGACGCCGGTCAGTACGCGCCGGTCGAGACCAGCCCCGCGGCGCCCTATCTGACAGCCCGGCATCGGGGTCAAGTGGCGCGATAGCAGCGCTGGGCCGACCCGGGCGCTACAAGGCTGGGCGTCGCCGTCACAAGCTGAGCGTGTTAGCGCGCCCAGCCAACGGACAAGAAGCCGCGCGTGCGTGTTGCCCAACGGCCCGTTGTATGACAGGCAGAGCAGTAATGTATAACACACGGCGATCCTATTCCCATCGCAACTAATGACGCATTTAAAGAAGCGCTTCCCATCCACCAGTCGACAAAGGCTTCTTGTTAGGCACATCCGAGAGCAGCTCAATATCTCCTTTGAGGGAGTGCCACAAAGCGCGCTTGTACGTTGGATGCCATACCATGTCTGACTTGTTTTAATCCTTCGACGATAAAAAGGTTGTACGAGAGGCCTTAACCTGAAGGCTGGTACAGACGGTACCTGACCTGCCGCAATGCGATTGCCTTCAGGGTCCAATCCACCGCTTGCCTGAATGAGTACTTCAGAATGAAACCGAACGATATCCTCGCCAAGGTTTTGTCCCCAGTGAAGGTTAACAAGCGCTCGAACGCGCCAACATATCTTACCTTTGTTCTCGAAGCAAAGCCACAAAGCATCCGCCTTGGATCGATCCCGAGCAGCGGCGCCTGGCCGCCAGACCTGACTCAGCCGGGACAGAGCGCCGCTGACCTATCCCAACGGCGGCTGGCCGCTCTTGCCCCGCGGCGCTGCCGGCCGGCCGTCCTCGCCCCGCGGCGCTGCCGACCGGTCACCCTCGCCCCGCGGTGCTGCGGTGTTGCCGGCCACCCTCGCCCCGCGGCGCTGCGGTGCTGCCGGCCACCCTCCCCCGCGGTGCTGCGGTGCTGTCGGCCATCCCCGCCCCGCAGCGCTGCCGGCTGGCCACCCTCGCCGTCCGGCCGTCTGGCCAGGCAGCAGGGCGGCAGCGGCACGCTGCAGAGCCTGCCCGGCGGTCCGGCCGGCCGGCGTCAGCATGTCGGCCCGCGGGGGTCATCGGCGCTCGCTCCGTCGGCGTGACGTAGCGGCTCGATGCCGTCGGCGCGACGGGGACTCGCGGCTATCCCTGCCCGAGGACACCTCGGGGTTCGACCTCGGCTGAGGATCGGACAACTGACACGCACCCCCTGCGCTGTGGGGAGGGGATGCTCTTGAATCATCGCTCGGGAACAGCTCGGGTTCGGCGCCCGGTGCGAATCTGACGGGTGACGTAGCCCTCCACGTGGTGGAGTCGGCGACCATTCAACACATCACTGCACCTGAGCGCGAGGCACGCCGATGACCGGAGCCGGCGTCCTCGTTTCAATGTCGTGCGTCACCTGGCATCGCAGGGCATTTTCAGTCAAGGAATAGGCAGTTCCATTTGCTGGCAGCGGCTGGTCGGTGTGGGTCGGATCACGCAGATGATCAGACGCGCTTCATGCGTGACAAGCAAGATTAGATCTGCTGGTGTCATCACCATGACTGTTATAGCCGTCGCTGGTACGGACGCGACATTAAAGCAGTTTGTCATCCCAGATGTGACACTGCGGCCAGATATCGGCACGGATCAGACGCGCAGTGCCTGGTTCCCTCTGCACTCCCGCTAACTCCGCACATAGGACCAACGTCGGCCCGGCGGCGGGCCAGGCGCATCGCCAGTGTTCCCCAGTCACAGCTGCCAAGCCCGGGGACGCGCTGCGGTAAACCCCGCAGGAAAACAGCCACTGACGTGTGGTCGCCATGCTGCGCGCGAGCATTGGCCGCCCGCCAGCTGCGTGGGCGCACGGCTGCAACCAGCAGGCCGGCAGCAGCGGCGCTCGGCGCCGAGACACGGCCGGGCCGCTGCCGTCATCGGTGGCGCCAACACCCGCGGCGTGTCCGGGAGGCGCGCCGCCGCGGGCGGCGGCGCCGGATTTCCGCACCGGACGAAGAGCGTAACGCGGCACCACGGAACGCTACGCGGCGCACTGCGGGCCGTCTTACGTAGCCGCTTCCCAGAGAACTCAGGTCCGGAACCGTTCACAAAGCACGGCTGGGACGATTTCCAGGAAGTTCCCCGCCGTAGGACACGTGGATTCCGAGAAGCGGTCGCCGGGTACCTCTCATAACTTGATCTATAGAAGCTCCAGAGGCTGATTTTCCATCTGAAGATACGTCTGGGTTTTTCACAAGTGGACACTTCTAAAGTTATGAAGTTAAACCGACTGGGAACTTCAAAAGAACAAGGATTCAACAAAATCGAAGTTACTCGTGGTACAAGATAGCACAGTCCGCGCTTGTTCTTTCTGCCGGTGACCTGACCATAATTAAGGTATGAATAATAATAACAATACATGATGATGCATGTCCTGACCATAATTAATGGTTGCGAGCAGCAGCGTCGATTTTTGCAAATGACTGTGGGGCCAAAGGCTTATCAACTTTTCTCCTCCAACTCTTCTCATCGACTTTGACTTCATTTTGATGCACGGCAATTTACATTCCTGGTTCCGAATCAAATATATAACTACTTGTTTAAGCAAAATGGAAGATACAGCCACTAAATAAAAAAGGTAGGTTTCGAGTAATCGCCATTTTTCCAGCATTCCAGTCATCGTCGTCATTGGGGCTTTACGATGCGCCCAGCTGCCGAGGCTACGGAGCGTCACCGGCATCTCACCCAGGGACTGCAAGGAATCGAACCCGGTACCTCTGGTTTTCCCGACGCGCGACATACTTTCGAATGCCAAAGACTGTCTGGATAGCAAAATTTCGCCCGTTGATAGCTATAGTTCTCATTGCGTTATTTGTTGTGTCATGGGACGTTTTTTATGATGTTAGAGAAACTGCCCGAGTTGCCGCGTCAGAATTACCGTTGTAGCGGACGGCATGACTCACTTGTAACATCTATACGCGCCGCGAGGTGGCGCTGTTGATTCGTGTCCGAGTTTAGCGAACCAGCATACGTGCGTATGTGCTTGGGCTTTTCTCGTGTTCTCACGCGAGAACAACAGCACAGGTTAGACTTGACCAGATCTCCCTGTCAGCTGACGCGCCTGCTGCTACACTTGCCACACCACACTGCCCACCAACGCTTGCGGTCCGACTGGACACCGCGCCGCGTCCAGCCTCGCCAGCGTCCCTCCCAGCGGCGCGTCCCGCGTCCCGCTGTCTCACCGGCACGAAGTGCGGCCCGTCCGGCTCGGCGACGCTCCCCAGCACGGCCGTGTTGGTGGCCGCGTTGTAGCCGCCCAGCCGGGCCAGCGCGCGCACGCGCACGTTCCGCCAGCCGTCGGTGCTGGCGACACAGCTCAGCTCCTCCAGTCCGATGCGCACGTGAGGTCGGCCGTCGCTCATGGGGACGGCCGGGCCCTGCTGGACGCGCCGCGCCGCCCGCTGCTGCTCCGCCTGCCGACACGACACGGCGCTGGGTCATGGCTGGCGTCACGGTCGCCGGAGGGTGGCGCTCGAAGGCGCCGGCCGACAGGCGTCCCTCACGGGACAGGAGGCGCACAGGGGTGTTAACGGTTTATGTCAGGGACGCTCAGCACTGAGTTGAGTGGTTGTCGCGCACAGACCTGGCTCGAGGATGCCGGTAGTGTAGTGGTTAAGCCGCGCGGCTAGAAAACCAGGGGTGCGGGGTTCGATTCCTCGCGATGCCTGCCTGTGCTGCCAGGGTGAGAGGCAGGCGCCGCCATGTATGGCATCACCAGCTAGCTGCGTCGTAAAGCCGCGATAAGAGAGAACCTGGTTCACTCACACCATCACCGCCCTCCCCCGGTGTCAGGCCTGAGCCGTACCCACCGCGCTCTCACCACGCCCGTCCGTTCCAAAGCCCAATCGAGAACTGGAGCTGCCACTCCGCGCAGGCCCCACCGGCGCTCGTGCGCCGTTCGCCAACGACGTTACTCAGGCAGGCTTCCCACAGAAACAATGTAGAAGGCGGCACTGTTGCGCGACTATTTGGAGTGTGCTCGGGGCGACGACCGCGCCGCTGTCGCAACGGTATGATCGATCGTCTTCCATTGAAGCAGGATCGTGACGCAACCGCCGCATTCCGAGGGCGCAAACAACGATGTCCAGGTACGCCGCAGTCGTCGGCGAAGGGAGTGAATGGGTGCCGGGTTAGGTATGGTAACCAGCCACAGGACAAGACGCCACATGCGGGTCCGTTCCCAGCCAGCCGGGCCCTCTGGCACGGCTGCGGGCCCACATAGCCCGCAGCGCAGCGGGGCTACGACACCGCTCCGGCGCGCCGGCGGCGCTGGACGTCATGGTCCGCACGTGCGTGGCGTCCGACAAGGCCACACGTGACCGGCGGGAGACACGGAGAGCGGGGAGCGGCGCCCCACAGGGTCTGGTTCAGCGCGACCCGACGGCACGGCGCCGCGATCGCCGCAGGCGCCGCCGACGGCGTCAAAACAGCCGTCTGTCAGGACGGCGACGAACGGCAGCAAGCACACACCACCCGCAATCGCACTTGCGGGCGAGCGCGGGCCGCCGCGACCCCCAAGGCCAAACACAGCAAGGCCGCCAGAGCCGCGGGCTGATATCCGCCGAGCAACGCCGACGCGGTCCGCTGCCACCGCCGCCGGTGCCGGCTCTGATGACAAGAACGCACATGGCGGGCGCGGACCGGACGGCGTGAGCAGGGGTCGGCCAGGCTAAGTGACGCACCAGGCCGCGCCGGCCAGACCGGGCGGCGCCCGGGCCCGCCCGGCCGCCCAGCTGCCGGCTCCCACGTGGGTGGCCCCCGGTGCCGGACCCGGTCGATTCGGCGCCGATGCCCGGCGGCCGGCCAGAGACGAGCGGCCATCGATCTGCGCGCCGCCGGCGGTCCCGGCCGCGGCCGCACCGGGTCGAGCCCGTTCACGGTCAGGCCGGGCCGGCCCGACCCGCCCCGCCCCGGCGGCGAAGGGGGCGAGGAGAGGCGAGGCGAGGCGAGGCGAGGAGAGGCGGGGCGGGGCGGATCGGAGCAGGGCGCGCCCAAACGGTGTCGGACTCGCTCCCGGGCAGGTCAGCCCAGCGGCGGGCGGGGCGCGGCAGACGGCCTGCAGCCACCAGCCAGATGCATACAAACTGCCACTTCCACCAAAGCCTAATTGCGCAGCGCACGCCTGCGGGTCGGAGAGTGCTCCAACCGATTTGCGCTACTCGTCAATGATACACACACACCTATTACGGAATGCTGAGCAGATTTGCGCCGACACGGCTCGACAGTGTGATTACAAACAATACTTGTAACGTTGCTTTATGACACTGGCTACTGGATGCCTAGCTGGACGATGAGCGGGACGAAGATTGACAGACACTGGCTGAGAGCGAATGGGACAACACGGACCCAGCCGCACCGAGTGAAGCTGCGATTTCCTCTGCCGTGCTCACCGATCGGCCAACTGGGACCAGACGGGCCTGGCAGAACCCTGCTAGAACGGATCAGCATCGAGCAAATACGACACCGAATGGGTGTCAGAAACAGAAGGCAAACAAAAGGAGACCGGGACTGATAAAAACCGGTTGTTTTTGGCAGCCAGCCAGCATTTGGTTCTCAAATAGCGGCACCCGGCGGCTCGGGGTATAGCCGTCCGAGGGCCTGTCCGCGTCACAGCGCACTCTAGCGGGCTGGGGTACAGCCGTCCCAGGGCCTGCTGCGTCACAGCGCACCCCAGCGGTCTGGGGTACAGCCGTCCCAGGGTCTGCTGCGTCACAGCGCACCCCAGCGGTCTGGGATACAGCCGTCCCAGGGCCTGCCGCGTCACAGCGCACCCCACCGGCCCCGACGCGCCACACAACAACCAAATAGTTTACTATAAAGGTATGTTAGCGATAATCATCACTATCATCATAATCACACTACTAATAGACCGTCAGTCGGCCGTCTGACCGAAGCAAAAAAGAAATGCAGTACGTGGGGCGTAGTAGCGGCTGCCGTTCCCACGTATCAGCTGATCTGATCCTGTGACGTCACGCCTGGAGCAGGGCGGTACGCCAGAGTACGTCCGACATCGCTGACACGCTGGTGTTAATGGAACAGGTGGATAAGGATCGTCGGCAGCTGCAGCAGGCATGCAGGATAGTACCAAGCCATCAGAAATGCGGCCGCCGTGCCAGCAGTGGCTCAGCAACAGTGGGTCCAGTCTTGTAACAACAGACAGACGCGCTATCCAGTGCCAAACGGTTCGCAGCGCTGTCACAAAGGAACATTTCCAGAAAGTTACAGACGCCATTTCCGTTCATATCAGCCGGGTTGTGTTCCACGAAACGCCACGGATATCTTTCGGGCGCAAGCCAGCGACGAGGACCTCATTCTCGCGGAAGTACCGCAACGCCTTTCCGTGAAACAACTTTCAACGCCAGAAAGTATCGCATTTCCCGCCTTGAATAAGTGATAGCCGAATTCCCATTCCTGCTTCGTCGGCGGGTTTTGGCTGCTGGCGAGTTTCACGACTGGGCGCTGATCGCCTTTGCCAACACCCGGCTTGACAGCCCACACGGGAGCAATCATGGCCAACATCCATCACCTGATAAGCGTGGCGGCCGGGTGGTCACCCGACACGGGCTAGATCAGCTGGCGCACGCGTCAGCTACCCGGATCAGCTGACCAATCAGCTGATGGCCTCCGAACAGCTTCGGTCAGCTGACTACCGCCGAACACTCGTGAACAACCGAGGTCCAGAGGCGGTCTTCGCCAGCTAAGTGACGAGAACAACTTGCGACGACCGAGAGGTACTGAGCACCTCGGATGCTCGCTGATCGGATATGTCAACCACCTGCCACGAGCTCGTCACCACCCGGGGACCTGCACCGCCCTCCTCACCACCCGGGGACCTGCTCCGAGTCCTCACCACCCGGGGACCTGCACCGCCCTCCTCACCACCCGGGGACCTGCACCGCCCTCCTCACCATCCGGGGACCTGCTCCGAGTCCTCACCACCCGGGGACCTGCACCGCCCTCCTCACCACCCGGAGCGGGCGGCAAGCAATCGTCCCCCCCCCCCCCCCTCCGTGCCGCTAGCATCGCACCGAGCCTGATGGCCGTCAGCGCCCTGCCGGCTCTGTTCGAGAACCCGGTGGGTACGGGCGACCACAGCCTGCCCGCCGGTCACTGCTGGCCTCCGGGGGCCGGTCGGGCACCGACCCTCCTTCCGCCGTGTCAGCCTCGCAGCGCCACCGACGCACAACGGCGCCGCATCGCCCTCACGGTCCTCTTCCGACGGGTTCAATCACGAAGCGGAAGTCATGCTGCCGCCGCCACACCTCACGCCGCTTCCAGCGGAGAAAGTCAGCACAAGCCCGATGTGGGTGTCGAGCCCCGACCACTCCGTCACGGATCTCGGACGCTCGAACGCCCTGCCACGGGTCTCCAACTCCTGACCGCCCTGTCATCTCGGACCCTCGACCGTCCTGTCACGGACCTCGAGTTCCTGACCGCCCTTCCATCTCGGACCCTCGACTGTCCTGTCACGGACCTCGAGTTCCTGACCGCCCTTCCATCTCGGACGCTCGACTGTCCTGTCACGGACCTCGACCTCCTGACCGCCCTGTCATCTCCGACCCTCGACTACACTGTCACGGACCTCGAGCTCCTGACCGCCCCGTCATCTCCGACCCTCGACTGCCCTGTCACGGGTCCCTCGACACGCTCTGCCGCACGCCCGCAGCGTCCCCGACGCTCCTGGCCTGGTGGACGCGCGGGCAGCGACGGCGGCGCGGCCCTTAAGACGCCGTCGACGGCCGGTAATGGCGCGCACATCAGCGCCCCCGACGACCTCTCCAGCCGAATGTCACGGCGAGCAAATCAGCGTGCTGGCGGTCGGCGAACCCGCCTCGACCCGGGCGCGCGGACGCAGTGCTCCGCGGTCATCGCCTCGGGGCGGCCTCGGCGACGCAGCGGCGGCGGCGGCGGCCGGGCGACAGAGGCCGCAGGCTGATCCAATCACAGGCGTGAATGGCCGCGGCGTGCAGCGGCCGCTCGATACGGCGCCCGCGGCGCTACGGGGGCCGCGGTCACGCCACTCCAGGTGACGTCAGCGCGTCACCCCGATCCCCTCGGTCGACTGCGCCGCGGGGAGGCATCGACCGCTCAGGCCGACCGGCCCAGCTGGGCACTGGCGGCGGCCGCAGCGGCGCCGGCCCGGAGACTGAGGCGCGCCGCCGCCGTCAGCCCCACCCCGCCGCGGATGGTGTCGTGTGGGCGGCCACAGATCAGGGAGTATCAGGGGTAGTAGCACGGGATGGCAAAAACTCATCCGAGGGCACCGTCCCATAGCGCGACTTGCTGCGGCAACAGCGTACGTGCGAACGAGGCGCGCCGGACATCCTGGTCATGGTCACGCCACACACCCCAGTCCACACGATGCAGGTTAGTCACGGGTCTCATTTCGGCCCAGTCACGGCCACACAGAAAG